AATAATCTCCAAAATAAAAATTCTGTGCTCTACTTTGGAGAGCATGAAATCATTTGTGTTTACACAGTTTTTTCAATTACTTTGATGCTGTGATATAAAGGTCACTGATTGCCTCTAGTCATCACATGGCTTTTTCACTAATTGTGCACTCACGTCATGTTGTTCTGTGGGATGTTTCACTTTTTGATCCAGTTTCATTGCCCAGATGTTCATTTTACACAGTTACAACTTTACACAAAGGGCATCCTCTGTTCCAGCAAACACACTGGTGGTTGTTCCAGCTGGGAACTCGTGCACAGCAGCTCACCTGCTTCCACCATCAACCTACTGACCTTTGGGCTGATTTGATGTAAAATCACTCATTGGGGATAAGGAGGAGAAAATATGCAAAAATGTTTCCTGGTCCTTAGCCTTGGACTGATTAGGGTCATGCTGCAGGATGAAAAGACAGTAAGAAATGGGAAAACTCTTTAATTTTGACCCTTTTGGTGTGTAGTGGGGTGGAAAATCACATCAGCACCTTGAAAGTTTTGCTCTGGTGTCTTGGAATGAATTGATGGAGACCTAAACATCTCCAAGAAGGAACCCTATTGCCCACTCCCATAAAGGCTTCATGTCAAGGCAGAGATGGAGCCTGACAGTCCCATGGGGGTGGCTGTCAGGTATCCAGAGCCACCAGGGCCTGGGGATTTCCTGGCTCACAGATTCCAGGAGGGGTGGATCTCAAGGTTATCCCATAAAGTGCAGCCCATTTGCTGTTTGTTGAGCCACGTGGACATCACACAGAATGACTGTTTGGTCTAACTTAACCTTTAGAGCAGTCATGAGAGCTTAGTTCATGAGCAGGATGAATGATGTGCAAGGCTTTGAAGGAAGATTGTGCGAATGAAGGCACTGGCTGTTGCTGAAAGGCCTGTGGAAGATGAGCAGTGGAAAATTGGACAGGGATTGGGCAGTATATCATGGAAGGAGGGTATAACTTGGCAATATATATCTGTGAAGTTTTTTAAATCTCTGCCTCGGCCAAAAGTGACCTTCCAAATGACAGGAATCTGGCCATCTTGAGCCCAAATGTTCCTAGAAAGACGACCCTACAAAGTTGTCCTGGCTGCTGGCAGGGATAGCACTGCTGGCAACAGGCACAGTGTTTTAAGGGCCAGGCTGAGGTGTAAGAGGAGCTACAACCCAGAGCAGGCAGAGGAAGGGGCCTGGAGAGGAGCTGGCAGCAGGCAGTGATTTTTGACATGTCTCCCATTCAGCTCTAAGGCTGCTGGGCAAGACCTGCACAAGGTGGAATTGTGGTTTAATGTGCTGATACGATTTGCTGGGGCCCCCTTGTAGCTCCCTACAAAGGCCAGAATATCCAGGACATCCACTGCATTCTTCCTGTGCAAACCTAGGGAGGGGGAACTGCAGATGCCACTGTCTGCTGTGTGCTCAGCGTGGCAAGGAGGAAAGCAAGGGAGTGAGATGGAGAAAAGCAGGAGTCCTGTCTGCTTCTTGCTACCCAGAGTGGATGGATAAATAGAAAGGTACAAAGTTTTGTTTTCCAAACACGATGTTTCCCACAACTAGTCCTGCTGGAATTGGTGAGCAGAGACAGACCCTTCTCCACACTGCAGCAACTGCAGCACCACAGTTCTCCATTTGCCTCTCTTGAGGCTATAGATCTCCTGGCACAGCTGTAAATTCCCTGTACAGTGCACAGCATGGCTTTTACTGAAAATTGATGGGAAAACAACTCTTCTGGAGCTTTGTTCCATTGAAAGTACATTCTTCTATGCATCTCCCCATTTTCCCCTGCATCCAAGCAGCCACCTGCATTCATTATCAGGCACATGGAATGCCCATAAAGTTTCCTTCCAGACTGGAATGGCTTGGTGGAAATGAGGCCAAGTGCCCAAACCCCTCTGCCCTTGCCACCAGCCCCCTCCAGCAGTGTGACCTGGGAGGCCTCTGGTGCAGGATTTGTGTCTTGATCTGTGGCAGTGACTGACAGCAGCAACAAGGAGCTCTCTGGGGCAGAGGACGGGCAGGGCCGTGGGGAGCTTTGTCTCCTGGGACAAGCTCCAGGCTGCTCCAGGGAATGTGCTAATTTTCACTCCTTTACAGTCCTTTATCTCAGCCCTTCGACCTTGAGCTCAGAGGCTTTATCGGCGTTATCCGGGAAGGCAGGGGGGAGTTAACCATTTAAGTGCTGATGTTTCTGAAGCACAATGAATGCAGCATGTTTCAGTAGTGCAGCACTGTCAGTGGACCGTTGTTCAGGTCTGCTGAGAACTGGTTTATGATGTTAGGAATAATATTTTAAACTGAATAGATGCTTTTTGAACTACAGCAGTTCTCAAAGTTTGTATGTCCCTACAAAGTTCCTCGGGCGTGTAGAGACCTCCTGTAAGACTGTGTCCTGTGGGCATTGCTGCATGGGGTGAAGGGACTTGGGTTTCTTTGTCCCCTTTTCATCCTTACCTGGACCCAGTTATTGATATCCAGAGCACAGGTGGAGTATTACTGGTCTGCTTTCTGTGGGTCCCTACTATCATGGTAACACACCTTCAACTTTATAAAGTATTATACAAACTCTTACCATAAAAAAAAAGTCATTTCCTGGAGCAGTCTGGATGAATGTATTGCCAGTTCTGCTGCTGACTCCTTGGGGTGACTCTGGGTTTGTCATTTAACTGTGAGTAACTTTTCCTGTTTGCAGAATGAGCTGAAAATACTTCCATGGGCCATGGTGGCTACTAATGAGTTATGAATGTGCTTATGTACATGTGTGTCTTGTTTGGTAAGATCGGCTTCTCTTCTGTCCCTGACAAATATTAGGCAAGAAAAATATTTCCTTTTCCTTACTGGGGGTAAGCAAAGTGAGTAGAAGCAGGATTTTTTGTGGAATATTCCTGCTTAATCAGTTCAGTGTTCATGGAGTTAATTTGCTCATGCCTTCAGATTGTTTTGTTTCCAGGGATTCTAAACCGTTGCCTCCAGCTGTTCATTTCCATTGACGAGGATGATCTTTATCTGTCTAAACTAGTTAAAACCTGCTCCACTACCCAGCAGCCTTTTTGGAGACAGCCCAATAAAGCTGAGTGCGGTGGCTATGACACCAAAGCCTCCTGGACATCATAAATTCCAAGCCCTACTTTTTTTTCCTGACCTCTCCCTGTTGGAGCAGCCCTCCTGTTTTAATGAGACCCTTCACTTCCTCCTCGGCTCCATTTAACCCCCATCCAGAAAGGGCAACGATATTTGCATTGTAAATAACCAGTGCAGAATCCCCTTTAGACTAATTTACTGCTTTCATATTGTCAGATGAAGCCCTAACATACCTTGAAGGTACCATTTGAACAACTGAAGCCCTGTTGACTTGCACTTGGACTCTGCTCTGTGTGTGTGTTCCTTGGGATGTTTTACTCGAAGCGTATTTTTAAATGTGCTCTGTTCAGGGCTTGCTGTGACATGCTGGGACTTGTCATATCTTCGGGGTCAACAGGGCCACTTCATCTTCAAACAGGAAATGTAAAAGTTTGTGTCTGAGCAGATGAGATGCAGGTTTGTTAAGCTGATGAGACAGCCACCAGATGGACCAGGGAATCCAGTGGTGACACTCAGGTGTTGTGTACATCAGTCAAAGGTGTTGTCTGTACAAGAGGGAATTGAGAACAACACAGAACTTTCTGTAGCTGTAATATTGCTACAGGGCCCAGAGCTGGAACGTGTGCTCTGGTGTAGGAACACCTTCCCTTCTGCTGGGGTTTCTAATTCACATTATTTTGGCCTGAGCTGAACAGGAGCACGGAACACAACAGGGAAAAGCCGATGGTCAGTTTGTACTTCAGGATCTTCCTTCTACTCCTACTACTGTTAACAGCAGTGGGAAAATTTGTGCCCAGAAAACCTCTGATGAAGACCCAGGCTGAGCTTTACTGTGGAATGTGCCAAGGAGACATTTTCCCGTTGTTCTGTTGCAGATGTTGCCGTCCCTGCTGTCTGGGGAGTCAGCAGGGCCTGAGGAACTGGGATGTACCTCCCCTGCTCCGTGCTGCAAACAGCTGGATCGGTTCAGTTCCCAGCCCGTGTGTCTGGGAGAATGCTGTGTAGTCACTTTTCTGCTAAAACCACCTCACAGCAATTACCAGACTTCCAGAGGAGGGAAAGGTCTGAGAAAAAGACCCGTTTAACATGTCATTATTAGTCTTTAGCAGCTGTGTGTTATCCTATTGTTACTAATAACCTTTGTAACTTTGCGAGCAATGTTTTCTTGGCATCGTTCAGACATAATGACTGGGGGGTCAAATTCAGCTCTCAGTTGTGTAAATATGGAATGTTCTCTTGGCTGTCTGGTGCTATTTTGCATTTGGCTCGTGGTTCCTGCCCCTAGAATCCTGCAATCCAAAATACCCAGGCAGAGAGTTCAGTCACAGTATGCTCTGCATACCAACTGGGTATGCAAAGCACAAAATAAACAGATGAAGAACTACTATCAAATCCAAGCCATATAATTATGTCTCTGTTGTCCTCTGGTTGTGATTAATGGATTTTTCCTGAATAAAGGAGAGCAGGAGTTTGATTGGCACTTTTCCTGTGTAATTCACCAGTAGATTATGGTTGTGAAGTCTTTCAGAAAAATATGACTTAAAAGAGGTTTTGAATAAAGAAATAATTTTTAAAATAAAGTTGAAAATGAAGAAATATGTTTGGGATGAATCAGGAACAAGAGTTGACAAAATAGATGTTGCTTGAAGTAAAGCAGTTGGAAAGTCTGCCTTAATGGTAAGAGGAAAGGGAGACCTTGGCAAATCCATGAGGAGGGTGTTGGAACTGCTGTTTTCCTTTCAACTTTCCGATATCCAGTGTTGTAAGACATAAGGTTCAGAGGGTTTTTATGGTAAATAAATTTATCTTGATTTCGTTCTCTGATAGGGGGGATCTCTCTTTTCTAGTATGGCCTGTGCAAAGTTCTCAGCAGTGAAGTGACTAATTGCACTTCTCATTTTCAGGGATCTTCCAGATAATCCTGCTGTGGAATGGGACACACATCTCCTCTCCACCATTGTGCTGGAGCACATAGAGGCCAAGAACATCAACCTGGTAACGTGACACTTCCTACAGCACAGGCCACATCACTTTTGAGCTGCTGTTCTGGGCTTTTCCCTTCCCTCTGGAAGCTTTCTCTGGAGTCTTTGAGTTCAGGATGTGTCTTTTCTCTCTGGAGATCTTTCCTTGCTTCCCAATGAGAAATGAACAATAGTGGAATTTCGCTTTTGTAGCTCCTCAAGTGGTTTCTGTATTTTAAAGTAACCATGTTGCCCCTTTGCTGGGTTTAATTGATGGAGGGAGCCCATCTGGGGTTAAGGCTTAGCTTTGAAGCCCACTGGCAGGTGTGTGTTAGAGAGCTCGATTAGCAGGGTTATAGGTCGGGATTGAAGAATATTAAACTGGGACATTTCCTAGCACTGGGGGGTTTTTTCCTCACAGAACAGGAATAAAGGCCTAAGCATGGAAAAGGTCGTGTTCTGTTCTTCTCTGTTGAACCTTACTTTGATCAGGCACTGACACCCAGATTAGCAGCAGAATCACAAAACTCTTAAAGCCTTTCAGCACTTCAGAAAACAAGAGACCACATCTCCTGTAGCATGAAAGTCCCAATGAGCACAAACCCCAGCATCATGCACCCAACTTCGTATTGATTCTGAGGCTAATTTTCCATGAAATTCACTGCTGTGCACAGAGGCAAATGCAGTTTTCCTGGACTCCTTTTGTGCCTTTTGGCCCCGTGAGTAGATAGGTTTTAATCTAATCTGAAAGCTCCTAACACAGGAGGGTTTGTATTGCCTGTTTGTGACTCTCACGAGCACTAAGACAAGTGCACCAGAATCCCAGCAGAAATTCTGAAAACACTAGAACTCCTCTGGATGGTTGGGAAGGATTAGATCTTTGCCTCAGGGAAAATTAAACTCCAGCTGTTTGTGCTGGGGGAGGCAGCAGTTTGCCACTAACAGAGCATGAGATGAACACTGAAATGTGGGGTTTGCAAAGCAAACATGAAACATTCCTGATCACGGTGCTGTCCCTGCTGTGCTGCAGCTCCAGCTGGAGGAAGGGGGAGGATGGGAGCTGATTCCCATCAGCTCTTCCCTGAGCAGCACAGAGGATAAATTACTGCAGCAGGACATCAGCAGTACCAAAGGCAGCTGAAGCAGCTTCTCAGGGCTGGTGGTAATGAAACACAGATTATTTTGAGTGTCCCAAGTAATCACAAAGGTCTCAGATGTTTGCTGCAATACCATTCATTTAGGAGCAGACCTAGTTTGCCAACAACAGCAAGAGAAGCACCTAATTACCTTTGTTGAACACTCTGCAGTTTAAAAACTTCAGAGCTTGCTATCTGTGAGCTCCTCTTGGAACACCTGCTGTCCTAAAACAACGGCCTTGCCTTGAAAGGTAAACTGAGCCCATTTTTCACTAATGTTGAAATTGATAAAACTGGCTAAACATGTTCAAAGAGCTTTGTCAAAACATAAACTGGTGGCATTTCGATCACAACAGACCAACTCAGTGGAATCAACATGATTGAAAAATGTGTGTTGTTGTAGCTATCCCAATGGGAAAACTTCCCCCAGTTCTCCCAGTAGTCATAACATCAACAGTGGTATCTTTATTTACAGAATATGTGGGTCACCAATAAGTGACAGTGGAGAAGGGGCTGCACTTCCAACGTATCCACAAGGAAGGATTACAAAGCAAGGAGTCCCACCTTGTGGGAGTACTGTTGTTCCATTGCAGAGTTAATTTGCTCAATTGCCCTGCAAGTCCATGAGTGGCTCAATCTTTTTGAGAGCTACAGGGACATATTTCATCCAAGCTCTACATTAAATAGTGCACACACAGAAATTAACGGTTGGTGCACTCAAAGCCAAAACTAATTTATAGACTTTGGAAATTATTTCCTGCCTGCTGGATTTACAAGCAAGAGTCAGTGTTGCACGGAGAGGCAGCCAAGGCTCCTCTGTCTCCATCCAGATTAGAAAGTATTTGGTGTGTAAAAAAAGTTACATAGTATTGTGTGAGCCCCAGGCAGGCTCTTGTTGCTCCTAAATCAGTTCCAAGAGACATTTCCAAACGCACAAGAGATTTAAAGGGAGTTTGAATATCACTGGCCTCTGTGACTGTAAGGGCCCATGGAATGATGCTCAGAGGAAGGCCATGAGAAATGGAATTGCTTACTATGGCATTTTAGGGGATGGTCCTTCTTAAAAAGGAAAGAGACCTTTCTCTCCCCCCCAGCAGATGTTTGCTCTGATGGAAGCACTGTGTGACACCAGGAAGAGGAGGGAGACCCACAGCTTTGAGTGCTTTTTTCCTCCAATGCACATGGTGTGAGGAGGGATCATGGACTCCAGACCTCTCAGGAGTTTTCTCTTCTGCTGGTAATTGAGTAATTTCCGCTGTGCTCTCCCCTCTCCGGAAGGGATTTCTGGACCTGTTTGTCTTGGCTGCTGCTCTGGCTTCCACTAGTGAAAGCTCCATTTCCTGAATACCAAGGTCACCCAGAAGAAAAACCAGCAACACCAACGGCAGCAGCTCCCATTTCAGAACAGGTGTGGGGAGGGAACTCCCTCTTGCCCTAAAGATTTCATTGAGCAACAATTTCTACATGAAGTATATTTATTATCCCAGAACTGGCTAAGCCTGTTTTTAACCCAGACAGTTTCAAGATGTTCAGGTTTTCTCATCCTGTCCTGATTGTCTGCTTGATTTCCTCATCAGCCTGGTTCAGGTTAGGAGTTAAAGCCAGCACAGCACTGAGTGGAAGGAGCAAATGCTCCCGTGTGAAAATATCTGCAGCATGTGAGAAAGAAATTCAGATCCATTATCAGTGAAATGAATCCCTGAAACCAGAGGAATATATTTACATGTGATTGCTGCCTGCTTGAAGGCACGAGCAGCACAGTGGTGCTGTGGAAACAGTGCCCTGTATAGACAGCACACTTAGAAGCTGCACTCTGGGCCGAGGGAACATCTCTGCTGTGTGCTCAGAGGGATCTCTGCAGGGAAGAACCAGGATTTCCATGGTATTCTCTTTGCAGACAAAGCAAATGCCACCGTGGCCAGGTCTGTGTGCACATACCCTGGGAATTGTACTTACAAATTTGTTTATTTGAAGAGATAGGCAATTCAGGTGCAAATGTCCCAACAGTAAACTGGACAACAGCAACAGAAAATGAACTCTGTGCAATCTCTTCAGATAGTTCAGATGTTATGTAAGCTCAGCAGCACTAAGAACAGCAGCTTCTGTTTCAAAGCAGATGTGGAGAAGAAAAACCTCCAAAGGTGTTTCTGAACAGATAATTTCCATGTCAAGAATATTTCCTAACCCAGCCTTGTGCTCCCACAGTTGGTCTGAGCCAGTTTTGTCAAAACAACAATTAGTTTATTTAGTCTGCTCACTGTAGTCTCTTATCTCGGTCTTCTGGTTTGTTCCCTTGTGCCCTCCACAGAAGGAAAAAATGTGTGTTTTGGCTTGCCTGGGTTTTTAGCTTGGTTTCCTAAGGAAACAGGAATAATGCAATGATATTTATACGTGTGTGCACATGCAAGTTTCAAAAGACTTCAGAGCCCATTGGCCAATTCCAACTGCAGGGTACTGGTCTTAAAAATGTTCTGCTTGTAAAGGTTACGTGAAAATCAATGACCAGGCAGGAGAGACAGACCCTTTCTCCATCCTTATTTAGTGAAAAGGTTTAGTGCAAGTCCAGCCCTTATCAGACTCACGCTATTATTCACCTGAATAGAAATTTATTCTGCCTGCAGTGAGTGGGGGATGTTGTCATCTCAGGAAAGTGCCACTCTAGGTAGGAGTGACTTCAGAGCATGTTTTTTCTTATCTGCAAAATACAGGGTGCTATGCTCATTCCCTGAGCTGAATTTATGAATGTTTTTCCCAGATGAGCTGCTCCAAAAGCTGGTATCCATAGGGAGGGCTGAGCACCAGGGCAGGCCCTGCAGAGCTCCTGGGTAACGCTGATGTACAGCAGCCAAAGCTGAAGATATCCTGTTTCTCTTTATGAAATAAGGGTTGGCCAGAAAATGCTTCTTTGTACCTGAATGAAGCTGAATTCGGTCCCACCACTTCCTGCCAGCCAAGAGCAACCTGGGCTGCCTGGTGGCAGCATCTTTACAGCCACTGGGCAACGTGGAAAGTCTGGCTGTGGACATGTTCTGGGTGGATGGGTTTAAAGCAGGCTTGTCTGAAGGTTGTGGGTTTTGAAGTGTTTCTGATTGCTGTCTCTGTGCTTCCTCTCCCTCTTTAGCAATGTCCCCTGTGTGGGGAGGGCCTGACAGAGGGTGGAGGAGCAAGTTGCAGGACGGGTGAGGTGACTTCTGGCCTTCCCTTGATCTCTAACCCAGTGCCCCAGGCCCTGCACATAAAACAGATTTTGAGAAGGGAGCTGTGCTGAGTGAGCCAGGCAGTGCCATTCTTCTTCTCCTTCCCTGAAGAGAGAACAAGCTGGCAAGGGAGCAGACATTGGTTGAGATGTGGGGAGTTTATAATTTCTCCCTGGTCCCAGAGAAGGGAGCTGTGGAGGGCTCTGCTACTGGGCCTCTCTCAAAGACTGAACTTTGGACTGGCCAGGGACTGTCACTGTCACCACCCAGAAGGAGAACCAGCACACATTCCCTGTCTGCTCTACACTTTGTGCTGCCTGTTTGGCTGCTAGGTTGGAAGTGGGAACCTTTAAATACCCACTGCCCAGCACCACAGAGTGAGTGAGCCCTTAGGGTGGTGCTTCACCCCTGACACATCATTGGCTGGTCTGAGGGCAGGGAGCCAGGGGTGTTCTGTGCTCTGGGCAGTGGTTAGTGCTGTGTTCACACATTACTTCTGCATTATGAAGTTCCCATTTGTACAAAAGTGCAGTCAGCTGATTCTTTAAAAAGGCTTATTCTCATATCAGATTATTTTATCACTGTGTTATCCTCTGGTGAAGCCTCTTTACAACCAGGACAGTCGTCCACGATCGTGGGGCTCTTCTTACAGCAATGTGTCCTGATCCACAGCACAGCAAAGTATAGTTTCACTCTGTCATTCTAGGATGTTCTCAGATCCAGGAGAGAGTGATTCATAGAGCTGGACCTCTCGGGTCAGGAACATGTTTGCAACAGATCATTTTGAAAGTGACCTTTTGGCCTGGTAATAAGTAACAAGTGCATCCTGCCAGTGGGAACATGATCTTTGTCATCTTTCTGTTGTTCAAGCTGTTAGACTGTGTAGTCATCTAGTTCCAGAGTGGCTTGTTTGTTTAGTTGTATTTCTGTGGCATGATGAGTTCACACACAAGGCCTCTTTGTGCAACACAAAAACAACTCGTTAGTTACAATGGGCTGGGGCAGTGCTGTGTTAGATGTCAAAGCTGGGAACTGCACAGTCTCCTCCTCCTCCTAAATGGTTCTTGTTCTGTGGTTTATTGCAGGTGGTGACCTTTGATGCGGGAGGAGTGAGTGGCCACACAAACCACATCTCTCTTTACTCTGCTGTCAGGTACAGTGTGCTCTTCCTGCATCCTCACCTGGGAGTTACACAGTGAACGAGGTGCTTGTGTGTGAGCAGAACCAAAACCAGCATTGATTTCACTGCTGTAACTGAGTGCCAGGCTGTGGGGCACAGGCTGTTTGGAGAAACTGCCACAGCTCTGTAAATAACCAAAGCATCTTTTAGTATTCCATCAGCTGGTGCTTTGCCAGGCTCCTTTTCACTGGGCCCTCTTTGCTCTTCCTGTCCTTGATCCCACTGAAATATGCCACAGATCACTTTGCACTTCTGGTTTGAGGAGGGTGTGTGAATAGCTGATGCCTGAGCTGTCGGTAGTTGGGTTTTGGAAAGTTCTGCACCACCATTCCAGGGGATGTTGCCATCCTGTCCAGGTCCCTGAATTTACCTCTCTGACCCAAGGACGTTGCTCTTTCACTGGAGCTGTCCCTGTTTACCACTCTTAGGAAGAGCCAATTAGTTCCTTCACCATTTTATTCCTTACATTATGGGACCCTCTGTCCCTGTGCTGTGGGAAGGTTGCTACACAGAAGGCCCTGTATTAAAATCACCCAAATTTTGCTGGCAGGACAGTCACTGTATTTTACTTTAGCGTTCTGCTCATTCAGACCTCACTGTGTCCTAGAGAGATCTCCTCCAGAGCTGCCCCTGCCTTTCCCAGGCATGAGAAGAACTCTTTGCAAGTATAGGTTGTATTTATAGCACCCATTTGTTTTCTAAATCATCTGTGCCATTCAAATAACTCTTCTGGCTCTCCGTGCTGACAACATCCCAGTGATTTGCCTTTCTCACTTGCCTAGAAAAAGCTACAGTGCCACAGAACCTGTACTGGGACCTACTGAACTCCTCTGGGAAGATGCTGAAAGCATTTGATGCTGGAATTCAGCATTAGAGGGGATCATGGCTGTTCCCAGCAACTTCTGGAATAGCCTAAAAGAAGGAGAGGGGGTGGAGTTAAAGCAAACTGTGTTTGTTTGGGCTGAGTTGGGAGATGCTTTCTGGCACAGCTAATTGAGGAGTGAGTGAGGAGCAGAGGTTGATGACCCAGGAGCAGAGGTTGATGCTCATACCATTGGCACAGAGGGACTGAAGAGCTTCCAGCTGCCTGGGCCTCTGTTTGCTCAGTCGATTGCTGCAGGACCTGCAAATAGGAAGGGAGGGCGGGTTGTTGTTTGTGTGTCCCCCTTACATCCTGAAGAGATCATGGGAAAACCAGCTGGCAGCTGAGTTATGTAGGAGAAAGTTAAGGAAAACTCTTGATTTTGATCTTGTCCTACTATGTGGTTGTGGAGAAATTACTTTCCTACCTTTGTGCTTTAGGTTTCCTGTGGGTGTGGGGGGGATTTAACCTTCTTCTCATCTCAGAGCATGTTACTGGAAATATTCGTTGTCTGCAAGCCCCTTGAACTCAGACCTTTGCATTAGTCCTTAGCTACAGCAGTCCTGGGCTGATGAGATCCATGCTGATAGGGACACCAGAGCACGAGCAGTTCTCATTAACTAAGGGCTGCTTTGTGTCTTGTCTCTGTTCCAGTCCTGAATCAGCAGAAATAACCATGGTGGCCCTGTCATCTGCATGTGGCAGGAGTGACGCTGTGGCCACCGAAAGGTTAAGTTTATTTTTAGTGGCTTGTTTGCCCTCATTATTTTTCAGTTTGTGTTATGGAGGAAGTAGAGCGTGACTGTATCACTCCTGACTCGCTGTGCCCTGATGAGATCTCACATGTTGGCCAGCACAGGCAGCACTGGGAGCACAAGCTGAGCCTTCTCCCTTCCCCCTGTGCCAGCAGAGCTCTGCAGAGCCCCAGGGGCCCCAGTGCTACATGGCAAGGAAAGGCAAATGAACTCTCCCCTCCAGGTATCATGTGCAATGTGTTTATTAACCATCTTTAAACAAAGTGTGCAAGGTTCTGCCTCCACTGTGGCTCTGAGTGGAAAAGATGAAGCAGAGGGCTGGTGCAGTGATCCTTGGCTCTTTTGGATTCTCCCAGTCCCTGGGAGATAGACTTGTGTCCACCACCCACGGGATTATTTCTGTAAGAGCAGGGGTAGAACAGGCTGTGTGACCCCTCCCACAACTCCTCGCTTCAGGAGGTGCAAATTATGGAACAGCTTCAAGGAATAAAACAGTTCAGGCAATGGTCATAGCTGAGCAGATGCTCAGTATTGTCTGCTAAGGGCATAAATATTTTTTCCAGTGTCTGGAGCAGAGGTTATGTTCAAAGGAGCAGGAACTATTCAGAAGAAATGAGCCCTTTCCCTTGCAGCAACCTTCCTCCTGACAGCTTGCAGGAGTCCAGCTGCTGTGTGTGCCTGCCTGGCCTTCAGATCTGGGAGGAACTGGGAAATGCCAAGGTTCGAGGGTGGATTTGTTCTTCTGCAGGGAAAAATGAGAAAAAACAGGGTGGGAGAGGAACACAAATTGCTGTTTGATTTCAGTCTCCCCTGGGAGTATTTCAGTTCTGGCTTCCAAACTGAAAAAGAGACCCAACCCAAACCCAAGAAAAACCCACAGTAGCAAAACAGAGGGAATTGGAAACAATCCTCTGTAGCTCTGCTTCTTTCTTTGTCACCTTGATTTAGCAGCATCATTCTCTCTTTTCCCCCAAAACAGGAGCTTTCCCTGTGGCCAAGAGAGGCTGGATCCTTTACGCTCATCCACAAGGAAGAGCAGGGTTTGAGTGACATCCAGGTCACTTTACTGCTCCCTCAGTGTTTGGCCAGTCTGTAGGCACTGTGGGAATAACCTTGGTAAATACTCTGTGACAGGAATATTGGAGAACCTCTCTTTTCCTGCACTTTGAAATGACGGTGTTTGCACTGAGATCACATGTAATATCAAGGGGGCTTAGTTTTGCATGAGTCACTGTGCATTTTGATTTTAAATAACCCCTCTTACCCAGGAGCCTGGCAAATGGGGGGCTGTTGGGTTTGTTGTTTGCTTGATTGCTTAGGATGGAAAGGAATCATCTTTGTGAGGAGGAGGAAGGACTGTACCACTTGTTTTCTTCAGTGAGCTATCAAATCCATTTCATCCCAGCTAGAACAGAAAAAAAATAGTCTTGTCTGCTTAGGGCAGAGCAAACTGAGTGGAAAATAGGAGCTGCTATATTTAACTACTGTGCATTGTGTTGTTATAGCAACTGCATCCATAAAACTTCTATCAATGATGCCATATAAAAAGCTACATCAAGGAATCATTAGCTGAGCCTATTCTCGTCAATTCCATTTGGAAAAACACCTCTCAGTCCTGCAGGATGTTTTTTAGCATTCACCAGCTCAGTGGTAGGTTGTAAAAGAGGCTGTGCAGAGGTAATATTTGGGAGCTTAGTGCTTTATCACTCTGGAGCTGATTATGATGCAGCCTGAGTGCCACTGATGCCTTGTTGCACTGACATGTCACAGCCTGGCTCTTGAATGCCCCATTTCTGAATGCCATGGGCATTGTGCAGAAGGGCTGCACTGAGGTTCCCTGAAAGAGGAGGGTTGGTTAAGTGCCAGTTTCAAATCTGTATATTGAAACAATGAACTGTCCAGCCAATCCCACAGACTCGGTGGGTACCGTTCCCAAAAGCCACCAACTGCATCACATCCCAACAAAGCACAGTTCTGCTTGTGTGGGGTTTCTAAGGCCAGGTCTTAAAGGATGTGTTGAGCAGGAAGGAAGCTATTTTTTTTGGTGATTAGCTTGATAATAGTGAATGATATCCCATTTACCACTTTATTTGATGCCTTCTTACAGTGTGGGGCTGGAATGGGACTCTAATCTCTCCCTCCTTTCAGCAGCTGTCCCATGCATTCTATTGATCTTAGATGTCCCTGGGGATCTTAGGAGTGGTGGCTGAGGTTGCACCCAGACTGCCCCCATAAGGTCAAGACAGAATTGTCCTCTACTCTTTATCCTTGGAGACTTCCCTCAGAGGACTCTGCCTTATGTCTGGTAATATACCATAGGCTGGGTATGTTATCCTAGATTTTATCTCATTCCTTCATTTACTCCCTCATTCCTTAATTTGACTAAGTTCATTCATCCCAGCCCCCCTTCCCTGACATGGTTGAGAGCCATTAGGATTAAAGTTGAGCACAGGGCACCAGCATTGAAGGGATTCCCCCCAAAGTAGTTTTTTATTCCCAAGAAACAGCCTCAGGGGATGTCCTTCCAGCATCATTAGGCAGTGAGTGGAGCTGTGACACTGCACATTCTTCTCCCAGGCAGTGCAGGGCCCAAAGCACAGAGCCAGGGAACAGCTCTGGCAGCTGGAACATCTCTGAATTGCCACTGGCAGAAACATCTTTTGCCACTGCTACACCTGAGTACAGAGAGCTTGGGCAGCATTTTACAAACTGCATGTTGCTACATGGTGTAGTTCAGGGTGCATGGAAATAGAGCCAGAAAGTCCAGTTAGGGAGGGAGGAGGCATTCCAGATAGCAAACATTCAACATCTGGCAAGTATATCCTTCTGATATCTCTGTGACTCTGAGGAGACTGGCTGTTCTTCCTCCTTCACATCTGTTTCATCAGATTAATCAGGCAGATTAGAGTTCGGGATTCTAAATGGAGCCCCAGCACAGCTTTAAGACATCCATTCTTTCCATGCTCTCCAGAATTGGATTTCCCCAGTGCTCCACAGCAGCCAGCACAGTCAGTTCAGTGAAGGGTTTTGCCTTTGGCACAGGAGAGTGTTTGGAGAGTGAAGTCATTGAATTCAGTGAACAACTTCTCATCAAATAGAACATGGCCAAAACCATAACACACCCACCAGGGGATCAGCCCCAGAGTTCTGTGTTCCCCAGAGGAGCTCTGTGTTCCCCAAGACCCAGTTTTCAGCTCTGTCTTGACTTGTTTCTTCTTTCCACCAAGTGGAGGTTTCACCGATTGGTGCCACACAGGAGCTGATCCACTCACTTTGCTCACATCTTTCCTTGAGGATGACTGAATAAATGCAGGGAATTTGGGAGGAACTCAGTCCTGAATTTGCAGGGTCGGGGCTGTTGGGCCATTTCAGTGGTTCTGCTGAGATGCAGCTGATGGCTGCAGACAGCAACAGCCTTCAAAGCAGCTGGTCCTCGAGGGAGGAGTCGGGGCTGAGCTCTTGCAGTGCAGAAATGGTTGGAGCCTTCAGATGTCTCATGGCCTTTTGAAATTTTTCATTGCAGAGGGTCTCCCACGGGGATCTGAACCTACCACAGGCACAACAGAGAGGGTGCAGTGAGAGGTGCCCTGTAATCACCAGCCTCTGGCACTTGGTGGGTGGGTGGGAACAAGCCACCTTAGGTCACTTCATGTTTAAAAAGAATTATAAAAAGTGTCTCCGGGGGGAAAAAAACAACACCCACATGGAAAAAGCTCCTGAAAAAGAGCGTGTTTGTGTTTGACTTTTGGGGATTTTATGCCAAACTCTTTCATTTCACCCAAACCACAGCAAGTCCAATCTGTAAAACAACATTCCCAAAATGGCAACGACTGAGAGCTGCAACCTCTCCCCTACTTGGAAGTGTCCCATGGAGACACTCCAGCAGGGTGGAGATGGGAGCGAGACGATGGATTTGGGAGAGGATTGGCTCATTTTGTGAACGTGTGCAGGAGGTAGAGTTTTGTGTTTCTCTCTCTCTCTCTCTGTAACCACAGAGTATCTCTCGCCTGAGAAATACAAATGAGCAAGGCTGCAATTCCTCTGCACATAGAGCTGGGTGGAGCCCATTCCCAGAGCTCTGCACTGAGCCTTGCTGAGTCCTGAAGCATTTGGATCAGGACAAAAAGGATGAGCAGGGAAGTAGTTTCTTCATGCCTGTTCTTCCAGATGAATGGCAGGTCTGCTGGCAGCAGCTTTGAGGACCTTTCAGTAACCAAAATACAGTTTGTGTCTGCCTGAACCCTTAGACAGCATAAACTCCTTAATTTGCTGCTGAATGAAACTCTCCTTCCCTGCTGAAGATGCTGCCTGTTCCTGGTGAAATGTTTCCATATGAAGTGGATCTCTTGCTCCTGTTTCTGCTGGCAGGAATGGTTATTATTAGTTCCCTCTGGGAGCAGCTCAGTAAGTGCTTTGAAGGTGCCTCCATGGCAGAGCAGCACACCCAGAACAGACACTGGGCCTTCAGATAGTTTGCCAGATTTCACAACCACTCACTGCTTTATCTCTCCAAGCTTGTTCTATAAAGTTCCCACCCCGCCTGCTGTACCAAGTGCTGAATCACTTCTTTGGGTGGCCAGATTCTACTTGTGGGGGAAGAAACCTCTGGCAGAAGAGCAGAGCAGATATTAATGGCGATACTTAAACCTTCCTCCCCCTCCACTGCCCACAAAAAATTGCTGGTAATGTTTACAAGGCAACATTTAATGATCTTTGTCAGAGCAGTAAGACTTGAGTGGTAGAAGGTGGCCAAGTCAGTATTCCAAGGCCATTGTTTAGTAGGAAATGGTATTGCTTGCAGAGCTTTGGCTCTGGAGCAGAGGAGAGCACTGGCAGGAGAATCTGTGTAAGGCATATGTTTTCTGATTGCTGTTTGAGTTCTGCCATGACCTGCATTTCTGGCTTGACTTTTGCTTTGAATTGTGTTGGATATTCATTACTCCGTGCTTCCTATTTTGTCTATGCCTGTGTAGTTAATCCTTTTCCTTGAACTTAACCAATAGCCAGAGATAATCCTAGTTTGAAGTGACTGGAGAAACACAGCAGTTTACATATAATGCATGTTTGATCCTGGTTGATTTACACATGAACTGGCACATTGTCCTTCGTTTAATACACCACTGTAAGGTGATAACAATCTCTTTACATATTACTCAGGGTTAAATAACTTTTTTTTTTTATATTTCCTTTCTCCTTTTGGCAAATGTTCCATTGTTTGGAATTTTTTTCCTCATGGAAGAGCACGCCTGGGACAGCCCTGAGTGCCATCTGCTGGAGACCTGCTGCCTCCCAGCCCTGTCATGGGCCAAATCTGTGGTGATGCAGATGGGAATGTCAGCACAATTGCTCCAAAGCCATGAGCCACAGGCTAGAGCAGGAAAAACAAGAGAATTAACAAGGAATTGAAGCTAATACCCTCTGATGCTTTCGCCATACCAGGATCATTTGCTTACACTTCTTGATGGAAGTGCCTTCACTGTTCACATCTCCCACACTGGTCCCCTCATCCTGTTTCCAAGGGAAGCACTTTTGCTACAGAGACTATCCAGGACAAAATCATGAAGGGATCAAAGTCTCAGTGAGCAAAAAGCCAGAGCAGCTTCTCAGATGTTCCAGTGCCAGTGTGAGTTAGAAAACAAGAAGCTGGTCCCAAAGAGGAGCTGCTGAGGCAATGTCCCTGGCCAGCAGACCCTGGGCTTTAAACAGCCAGTGCTCCCAGAGGTGAATAGCCTTTGGCAGCCTCTTGCAGTTTCCCTTAGTGCAACTTGAGAAGTTTGAGAGTGAATTGGATTTATAGAGCTTATTTGTGATGTGTCCCAGCAGCCAAGATGAGGAAAGTAATGGCAGAACAGTGTGGGCAGTGAGGCTTATCCCTGCCTGAGGTGTGCATCCAGTGTCAGCTCCTGAAGGTTCTCATAAGACTGGCCATTGTAAATGTGTGTGTGTGTGAAGAGAAAAGGGCTGGTTTAGTGTACAGAGTTTATACCTGTAAAATCAGGGTTTGGATAACTCCACTGAGTGTTCACCCACATGTATCTCTCCTTTCACAGGTACCTGCATTCAGAGGGGAAGTTACCTGAAGGTAGGTCACCTCACATCCCTGCCCTTGCAGGCACTGGGCAATTGTTTACATCAATGTTCTGTGCAGGGTTCCAGCTGCCCAACTCACCCCTGCAATGCAAATGCAACCTGCAGCTCAACTCTTTCTTGCCCTTTTATCCTCCTGCAGTTTTTACCCACTCAGACTTCTCTACAATCACTTTTCTGTCCTTAGGGGTTCTCCTGTCTCGATGCTGTGATTCAGTGTCTGCCCTGTGCCTTTTGCTGTCTTGGGTGAATATGAGTGTTATTTCCAGGTCTCTCAGCTTAATCACAGAGGTTTTGGTCATGTCTTACTTACAAGCCTGTTATTCTTTTCTGTGACAAAGGCCTCAGAAACCATTACCAGCTTAGCCAAGAATGTTTGCGTGTACCAAGTTAAGCTTCCATCAAAATGTGCTCAGGAAAGGTACCTGAAATCTGCAGTGGCACAGCAAGTTTTGTAATGGCTTCTCTCATCTACAAATGAGCAAGAATCCCTGAGAAACCCTCTGTACAAGTAGGTAAAGGAAAGAAACAAATTACAGAAGCAAGTTGCTCCTGACCCATTTTCTAGCTGCTGTCCCAGAGCAGAGCTGCAGCCCTTATCTCCAGCAAACAGTGCCTGACTCAGGGACAAATGTGAGGAACTAGTTTAGGCACAAAGCTGTCAATCAGCTCTTTGGACAGAGCATGGGAAGGTGGCTCAACCAGGCCCACCCAGTCAACCTCCTGTTCCCTCAGCAGCCATCTGGGCTGTGTTCCTTTAATGCTAATTCCCAAATCATTGTAGGATTTGAATGAGTCACAGCAAATCAGTTTTAATTCTCTGCTAGCAGGAAGTTGCAGACCTAATGAGAGAGTGTGAGCCAAGATGGCAGAATGCCCTTTAGCTGAGTTCTGACTCCAGTCTCTTCAGCTCCCCAATTTATGAAAGAGCAGTATAATGCCAGCTTCTTTCCTGGGACCTTTTCTTTGTTCAGCTCTGGGATGCAACAGAGCTCTGTGTGCAGCACAAAGGACAAGGACCTGCAGTGGATGATGTCACTGCTGGCTGTCAGGCCCCATCTACACTGAGCCACTTTCATGTGCTATTCATGCAGGTCTGTTAGATTCACTATGGTCCTGAGTATGGGCTGAGCCTCAAATTCATTCAGGTTTGAAACAGAACTCATGTATAGAGAACACTTCCATTTCTCCAGCAGCATCAAGAGACTCCTGGAGCTGTGTGAAAGCCTTGCTGCTCTGATTACATCACATCTGACATGACCTACAAACACCAAAGGAACGGGGAGCTCCCATGCTGCTGCTTACGCTAAGCCTTTCCAAATATAGTTCCAGTCTCATTGAAATTCCCAGTATTTATAATTTGATCTGGCAGGCGTGCAGGGCTGTGCATCAGAGGGGCTTAATGAAACAAGAGTGATGCTGGGATTGAGGCTGTCTGGATAGAGCTGAAAGGCATGTTCAGGCCATGGAAATTTGCTGCTCTGCTGTTGGTAAGAAGGAACTATGTGTGGGTGAACCTGTGTAAGCCCATGTGACCAGGGAATCCACAGAAAATCTCTCTGCAAATGCAAAAGCCAGCTAAGCCTTGCATTGCCTCAGTGATATGCAAATGAGCACCCTAAATATCCTGCTTTGCTTTCTAATGCCTTTAGCCATCATAAACACTACAGGCTTTTTATAATCTGTAATCAAGTTCTCCAGCCTGGGCACAAGATACTTGGGCTTGTCTCAGGAAGTCAAGACGGCTGCTGGCTATGCTCCCACCCCTGCCACTGGCCCCTTCCAGCTATAACCAGTGCTCTTCCAAAAGAGCTGGTGTACTTCCATCCCTCAGGAGCAGTGCAGGCCTGCAGCACACACAGATCTGCCCAGGAGCTCCTCATTCTAGGCAGACCTGCTGCCTCAGTGGTTTGGAAGCAGAAAGCCAAGCCGAGCAGGCTGCAGGCTTCACACACTTCTATTCCAGGCCTAATCCATGAGCTATATTGATCCTGCCCTTTCTGCCAACCTAGAGAGGTTGTATTACACTGCTAATCCCCTCCTGCCCAGGTCACAGTTGCCAACGCCTGAAAATCTGTCTAATGCAGTTTTGCACTTTTTGAAACGTCTTTTAGTTGTTAAACAAGACAATCTGACTGCAGTATGAGTTTGAGGCTTTATTCTTCGTCCTCATTGTCCCCAGATAAATGGTGGAAAAGGTCATGCAATGTTTACATGAACACACTTTTATCACACTTAGTGCAATGATCTCTACGGTACAGAAAAGGAGGCACACAGGGATCTACCTTTTGCACTGTTACACACATTTTTTAAGTTTACACACTTCTTTCAAACCTTTTAATAACACACTACTATTGTTAACTATATACCGGTATATATTCGATAAGTGGTGTTAGCCTAAAACAGTTTTCTCTTTCTTGTTTTTATCTTTGGGTGTAGGTACTCATCACAGGTATTCCTCCACTGGAGTTAGCAGCTTCCTTTCTCTCTTTCCCAGGCTGCCCAAGGTTACTTCGTGGATTCCAGTGTTAGCTCAGAGGCCTCTGGATAAGTTGCTGTTTCAGGGCCTCCAGCTGGAACACCTGTTTGGCTCCCTAACACAGTCACAACAGGCTCTGAAAAGCTTCACCTGCTGGTGTCACAGGAGTGGACTCCTCGATGGCAGCACTGCTCCCACCCTGCTTGGCAGGGAACAGCCTGTTTCTCTGAACCCTTTTTCATCTCTCCCTGGAGTGTACATTCCTTCCCTGCTTCATTTCATCTCACATTCCCATGCAGAACAGGCTTTGCTGTCAGCACATGGATATCCTTGTGATATCACTGGCACAGAAGGCTCTTAGAGTGCCCTTTTTTTGGGAGGCTGAATGCCACCATGCCACCCCTTTGCCTGATCTGACCGAGGAGGGCACAGCAGGTCAGATAGATCCACACAGAAATCATTTGCAGTGGTTTTTATCCCCTATTGCTGGGCTTTGGGGAACAAAATGTGTAATTGCCGCATGAATTAATATTTCTCAGGGAAAAAAAATGAGGAAAGGGAGAGCATGTTTTGTTAACAGAGCAGTCCAGGCTTCAGAGGGCAGTTGTGGGTGTCAGGCCTCTCTTCCCATCATTGCAAGTAGGAATTCACATGGCATTGCCAGAGTCCATTAACAACCATCCAGGAAAGGAAAGATCCATTGCCCCGTGTTTGCTCTAGCCTTGTCTTCCCTTGTTTGAAAAGCAAACAGGTGGCCAGTGGGAATGCTGAGGACAAGAGCAAGAGGATCCACATCTATTCCTTTCCTCTGCCACAGTGCAGCACTAATTCTTCTCTCTCAAACTACCCACAGCAGCAGCCCAGAGGGTCTCTGCAGAGAAGGGGGAAGAGAGTTCCCCCACTCGTGGCACATCACAAGTTTCCTTCCAAGTTTGGAAACAAGAAATTCTGTAGTGGGAGTAGAAGAACCCTCAGGGCACTTCTGTTTGTGAGCAAGTGCAGCACTTGTCCCTGCAGAGCATCCTTTGCAGGAGCAGCTGAGACCCATGGCAGCCAAACAGCAACTGCTCTGCTGTCACTTGTCCAGGTGGGCCGGGAGCGAGCCGGGGGCTCAGGCTCGCGGTCAGGAAGTGGCACAAGCCATCCGTGCTGGTCCCACGGCTCCCTGCATTCCCGCACGTCCGGGGGACCCCGCGGGGAGCTTGGCAGAGCTCATCGCACAGCTGCTGCTCAGGGAGCACCGTGACCTTGCAGGGCTGGGGGCTGAGGCTGCGGGAGGACGGGGGTGGGCACACGGCAGTGGCACAGTCAAGGCAGGGGTGTTGGAGGCAGAGGGTGCCAGAGGGGTCTGAGCCGGCCGGGCCGGGCAGCGCCGCGGGCAGCGCTGCGGGTCCCGCTCCCGCAGCCGGCGGACACCGCCATCTCCCGGCGGCTCCCTGAGCCAGGAGTTCCAGGAGGGCTTTTCCTCCGGGTCCTGGCACAGCACAGACTCCTGTCAGCTTTTATCTGGATAGAAATGCCAGTGGTTCCTCTTGAGGCCTCTACCCCTGCCCATCATTGCCCACAGCGGGAGAAAAGAATTCCTTTGTGTGCTCTGTCCGTCCTGCTGAGGAGTCACGTCCCAGGATCAATGAAAAGGGGGCATGGCCCTGGAGCCCTCTGAGACACTGAAATAAGGAGTTACCAGTTTTTCTTTGGAGAGTGGAAGAAGCTATTGAGAAGTTGGAACAATCTTCTCTTGAAGGAGAAAAAAGAAAGAAAGGAATTGAAAGATCTCAGAGATGTGCTGGAGGGAGTCTATGGGGGCTGCCATGTCCTGCCCTTGCAGGCTTTGACTGACTCATTTTCTTTGCAGTGAAATGAGTCAGCATCACTGGGAAGAGGCTGGGACACAAATCACTTATGAGGGGATTTGTCAGGATGGTCCCACGTGTGCTGTTTGTCCCTGGGTTCAGTGTGTCACAGCCCCCTGGCTGGGAAAGGAGTGGTGCTGATGGGGCATCTTGGAGGGCCAGACTACCCTGGAGACTTGTGGGAGCTTCCCCTGTATCTCCAGGAAATTGTAGAGCAACAGGTTTTCCCTTCCTATCTCAGACTTGGTAGAGGTTAAACTGAGGGATCTACCAAATGTCCAAAGTAGGGAAAAGTTCTTTGTTCCTGCTGCTGTCCTGGAGAATCTTTGCCCTTAGAGGGACACGAGTCCTGCTGACATTGTAGGGCTGAAAGGCATTTGAGCACCACCAGCTCAAGCAGTTATTAGACTTGAGCACAGGCTTCACACACTGAAATGGTGCATCAGGAGCCTCTGCAGCAGCTCAGCTTTGTCTTGTGTCTCCTTTGAGTAATGTCACTGTTTCAGGGCACACTGAAGAAAATCTAATTGTGAATCGAATTGTGTCTCTGACCACCTGTGTAAACTGTGACTTTGGCCTCTTCTGTCACACTTTAATACAATTAGTGAAGTGTGGAGCATAATCACAGCAGCTTCCAAGCCCCAGGAAATCCCAAAGCAGCTCCTTTGAGAGCTACAGGCTCTAAATGGGACCATCAGTAGCTCCGAGCTCATCAGTGAAGACAATTTAGCCATAAAAAAAATAGCAATCAACTTTCGAGTTCAAGGGGATCTTTAAAAAAGGAAAAAAAAAAGCTTCCAAACAGCAGAATCTTTATACATTTTACCTTCCTCTGCTTCATCACAAACATCTGAGCAATGTATTGTGGAACTCTGTTAAAGTGTAACTGCCTGCCTGAGTTAATATTTGATACTGCCATTCCCGAGATATGTAAATATTTATTCTGTAGGTAAGAATTGGAGCTTTCAACAGACTGTACAAAACAAGAACCAGTACAAATAGTCATATACTGAATAAGAACCGGTACAAATGGTCATAAACATGCACTGGGCACAAAGAGATCCTGGTGGAAGCATCAGGAAAAGTTGCTCCCCTTTTGCAACAGGATCCCAAATCCAGCAGCACAGGGGAGCCTGCAAAGACCTGCTAAGCCTGGAGAGAAGGGCACCTTAAAGTACTGTTGTTTTGAAATAATTCCCCTTTCCTCTGTGCAGGGTGCCGTGTGCTCGTGCTCGAGTCAGTGAATCTCTTGAGGAAGTACATTTCCTTCCTGGATGTGCCCATTTCCTGCCTCCTGCCCGGGGATGCCCTGTTCATCCTCTCAGAGGAGGAGACTGAGCAAGCCAAGGTGAGACCTGTGGCACCTGCTTAACCTGCCTGAATGGCTCATCATCACTGTGAAGACTTTAGTCAGAAGTGTCACATTCACGGGGAATTTCATAAGTGGGTTATAAATGTCACTAAGGAATGTCTGCAGTGACTTGTAAAACATGAACAGACAAGACAGGTGACCTCGTGTGCTGTGACAGGACGGGGCTGAGCTGATTTGCAGCTCAGAGGTGTCCAGTAGTCACAGAGCACTGAGTTTTACACTGCATCCAGGATGCAGGATACATTTCAGAGGAGACTGGATCCAACTTAATATTCCCAATATATGAATGGCCTGTCAAAGATTGGCATGACTCCATGTCAGGAACAGCATCCTTGGACCACAGCTCTAACTAAAGACAGAAACAGCCTGTCAGCTTGTGGTCCAAAGAGTTCCCTTCTTTGCTATGCATATTTTATTTTGCTGCATGAGATCTCACACATTTGTCCACAGTTCCCTGTATCAGAATCTGATTAGCTCCCCTTCCATAGCATGAAAATGTTTGCCCAGAAAACAGTGCTGTTAATTCACAAATTGCAGAACTTTCCTGCTTTTGAGGCTGCTAAAAGGGAGAATTATACATGGAAACTGCTCAGATAGAGGTGGTGTTCGTTATTTCCATGTGTTTTTTGTTTCTGAAACCTGACCTTTCTCTGCTGATGCTCTGTAAATATTCGGTTTCAGCTGGCAGTGTGTGGTCAGAAGGAAATGCAGGGATGTTCCCAGACACTCACCTATCAGGTTCCTGCTTCCCCAGCATGTGAACACTCAGGCATGAGATCACGTGGGGAGGAGGAGTTATAAGTGATAAATACACTGTCTCAGCACCAATCTGCAGCTGATAATGTCCTTTCTAGCAGGACCCTCTGAACATCAGCCAGCACAACACCAGAAACACAGGGGCAGAGAGGCCCCGTGGATTAGGCAGCCTCCCACCTCCCACTGCTCACTGAAAACAGGCTGTCCTATAAATTGGCAGTGATCCTCACAGGAGGCCTAGGAAACTGCCCTCACACGAGGCCTGGAAGGTTCTTGTAATGCTCTCTCCACTCTTTTTCCTTCCAGAGGGCCATGCGGTGCCATCGCAGCCAACTGCTCTGGTTCCGTCGCCTCTACGTGCTCTTCTCACGGTACATGGTGGTCAATTCACTGCGCCTCCTGTAGCAGGACGTGGCTCACAGCTCCAGGAGAAAAGAATGACCAAAAAAAAAAGGACCATGCCAGGCTCAGGACTAAAGGAGACTCCTGTGTTATGTGCTGGAGAGGACGGGATGCTCTTTGTGTAGCATTCTCCAGGCTACAGAAACCAGGCATGTGAACTTCCTTCTGAGTATCTTGTTGCCAGATACCTTGAGATGAACAGGGTTCAACAGCTACTCTGTTTTCTCACTGTAGAAGCTTAACTGGGATGAGAAATTTGGATTAACTTAATTAGGAGTTGAATGCAGGAGTATTCTGCGTTGGAGAAGATATGGCACAAACTATTTCCCCAAAAAGATACAGCTGCAAGGACTGCTTGGCAACTATCTCTTGGTGCTTTTATAAAATCGAGATATCAGGAGGAACTTTCCAAAGAACACGCTATCTCCACAGATACCAGATCTACAAAGACCTTTCTTATTCAGTCAGAACTTTAAAAAGCCAATGCTTTTGAATAAAACATCAGAAATAATACAAATTTCTCTAATTGCACTGATCTTTGCTGCTGCTGCTTCTTTCATACGTATTGTGTTGCAGGCTCCACCTTCTCAGAGTGTCCCTCATGAAACATGAGCATTTTTTCTTGCTTCAGAACACGGGGCTCAAGATCAACTCACAAGAGTCTCAGCAGGACGTAGGAATGAGGTGCAAGAGAGCCAGACTGTAACTAGGTCTTTTAATATGGTGACTTAAACTTTAGCACAGCTAGAGGCAAAGTGCCAAACTAGCAACCCTGGAGTGGTTTACAGAGCAGAGGCAGTTTGTCAGCTGAAAGTCACAAAGGAATGAGACAATCAACATAGAAAGATTTATTTAAGAAACAGAGAACAGAGAACAGTAGTGTAGAAATTGATTTCACCATCCATCCCCCAGGAAATGCCAGACTGCAGTTCCACAGCAGTGCTCCAAGTTCAGTTGCTGGAAGGCTTTGTCAAGGTTTTGACATGTCTCTGATGGTCTTATGCTCCCCCACTGCTTTCTCCCATTCCTTGCCATTGATATCCTCTGTGACAATGGTCTGCACGGTGCCATCATCCAGGCAATGGGGAGCTATCCCTGAAGAAAGACAGAGCACACAGAAACCTGCTTCTCAGGAAATGAGGGAGATGCCTGCACCACTCTGTGGATGGGGCATCTCAGGGAATATAAATGCTATTGCTGTAAGGCTGAGGAGCCTGGATGAGAATCCTGTCCCAGGCACAAGCCCATACATCACAGGTAAGACTTTCTTATGGAGGAGCTACAGGTTCAGGCTGCAGTTCCAGATGTTTAACACTTTGGGGACAAACTCTTAAGACACATGCTGCTCCCTGCTGTCATGTTGGCATCCAATGGAGGCTTTACCCAAGGGGTGCTTGGTGGTTCAGTTTGGTTACCACAGCTTCCTCTTTGTACCTACCATAACCATCTGGGTTGGAACGAGGAGTATAAAAGCTCTGGACACCACAGGTCTTGCAGAACGTGTGCTGGGCACGGTGTGTGTTGAAGGTGTATGTTGTCAAATTATCAGCACCCTAAGCCAATGAAAAGCAGTTTTCTATATAAATAAGTTTTCCATATAAATACATGGATAAATTACTTTAGGCCTATAGCTAAGAAATGTAAAATTTAAAATACCACCTTCCTATCTTGATACACAGAGTTCTGCATTCATGCTCCTTTTCTGAGCCCCTGTGCTCTGTATGTAAAAACATGTCCATAACAGTCAAGCCTCAGAACTGCAAGAGCTCCAGCATCACCTCACCAAATAAGATGCACTAACACACCCACACCAGACAAGACAAAATTCAGCCATTTCCCCCCAACAGCCACACACGAATTTAAGATAGAAAACTGGGTGTTGCTTGGATCCAGGCTAACACTGGGTTATACTGCTCAAGCTCATGGCCACGCTCTTACTGTGTTTTACTCTCACCTGCAGCAGCTTGAAACGCGACGCTGGGACAATGAAGTGTCTGTTCTGTTTCTTTGTGCAAATGCTGCAACTGTAAAAGAAAAAGCAGACCTTTCTGGAAGCAGTGGACAAGATGTAGTGCAGCAGTCAGATCTAGCAGGGACCTCTTGACAACAGAAACTCCACTGACAGTTAGAATGGCTCCTGGGTGGCTTCACAGAGGTAAGTGGTGAAAGTGGCCTCGTGGTGTCAGTAGTGTTTGGCTGAGCACACCCATGGAACAGACTGACCCTACACAGGTACCCCCTTAAGGTGTCTTCCTACACCAAACATTATATTCTTCACATACACAGCTCTTTAAGGTCATACTCTAGCCCTGAAAAATCTTTCAGACCATGCTTGGCCAAGTTTGCCAACATTAATTACTTTGCAAACAAGAAAGCAAAGTTCAGAAGTTCACCCCTGAGCTTGCAGGCAAAGGGAGATCACTAATGAAATCAGAGTGTTTTAGTTTGAGGCACATGTGGTCAGAGATGTAATGTCACTTGAGAAGACCAAGTTAAAAAAGGATCAATGTGCTCTGAGCCCACTGACTGAGAGGAAATATAAAGCAGATGGCTGAGCACCTGCACTCACTAGATCTCTCCTGACACTTTCTGCATGAGCATGGCTGTGAGACCTGAAGTCCTGCCCAGAGAAGCAGCACCTGAAATCCCTGGTGTTGATCTCACATTGGTTCAGGATGTAATTAAGGGTAAACCCGATGGAAACAGCTCAGAGGGTGTTCTGCAGCTGTCTCATCTTTTAGCTCTGAGGCTGCAAAAGCAGACAAGCTGATATTCATGTATGAGAACAGGGAACAAAACAACTCACTTGCAGTTGAACACGTGCAGATGTGGTGAAGCCCAGACCTCAAAGCGGACAGCTCCACAGTGACAGCCTCCTGTGTGCTTGACCAAACCTCTGTGTTCACTGGAGAGAGAAACAACAGAGCTCTTGTGATCATACTCTCTTTTTTTGGCCAAGAGAGCAGTAAGGCTATACACATTATTCAGGTCTGCCTTGAGCAGTTGCAGAACACCAGGAAATGTATCCATTCAAATGTATTTTAATACCATGTGTCAGAGTGAGGTAGGGAATGGCTTTTGTCCTGACAGCAATTGCTTTTGTGGTTTAATTAAAATGCTGAAAAGGAAAGAAGAACAGCAGTTCGAGGACTCTCTACTCTGTACAAGAGAGCTCCCCACCACAGTCCGGGTCACAGTGTCACCCAGGCTGCAGCTGAGTCCTGCACGACCCTACAGAAAGCAGGGTTATTACCACAGGACAACCTGCTTGGAACTGAGAACCGAAATTTCCCACAATTTTTCCCACAACTCCTCCAGCACCACTAATATCGCTCCATTTAAAAGCTAGAAAAAGCAGAGATAGCTGGATTTTACATAATATTTGAAACGTGTTTTATTTCAGATTGTAATTGCGGGGGAACTTTATGATCAGGGAATTTCTCATCCTGTGCCTCTCCCTCTGTCTGAGTTGCCTCCTTAGCAGCTGGGCGGACTCACCGTGCCGGGTCAATCGCAAAACGCAAAGGAAAACCATTTTCCTTTCAGATTTTCCCTGCCACGGACACTTACTGATTACAGCGCGGCGATGATGTGCAGCGCTCTGCAAAGAGCGAGCACAGGAAACTGGGTGGAGATTTGGAGGCTGAGCCTCGCGGTGCCCCCCCAGGGCATTTTTGCCCAGAGAGCCGTAAAACAGGGGAAGCTTTAGCAGAAAAAGCAACTCTCTCCGTGGTGCCCGCGCCCCCTCCCCGCCCCCGGGTCCCCCCGCGCCCTCGCGGGCACCTCCCGCAAGCCCGCGCACCCCCGATGCAGGTCCCACGGGCCGGGGCCGGACCGCGGCCCCGCTACTCACTACGCGTCCAAGCAGCAGCCGCGCCGCCTCCTGCAGCTCAGCCCGTGCCGCCTTCTGGAAGGCGGCCCAGCGGCCGCTCTGCGCCCCAGATCGAAGGGGGGCCGTGGGGCCAGGGGGGGCTCAGCCTTCCCCTGGGCGAGGATCCCCCCGCGCTCCTGCCCCGCGCCCCGGCGGGTCCCCGCCGCGCCCGCCGCCCTCTGACCGCAAGTGCGCGGCCATTCCGCCAGGGCGCGCCCCGCGCGCGCGCCGGCGCGAGCGGGAGAGCTCGCCAGAGGCGCGCGGAGACGGCGGAATGGGGACGGGAAGGGAACGGGAAACGCGAACGGGAAGGGGCGCGGAAGGGGCTGGGACACGGCGGGACAGGGGGGCGGAGCTGGGTCGCCAAGAGGCGGCGTGTGCCCAGGAGGCCAACGAGGCCAAAGGCGTCCTGGCTTGTATCGGCAATAGTGTGGCCAGCAAGAGCACGGTAGTGATTGACTCCCCTGTGCTCGGCGCTGGTGAGGCCGCACCTCGAATCCTGGGTTCGGTTTTGGGGCCCTGACGACAAGAAGGAACATCGAGGGGCTGGAGTGTGTCCAGGGAGCTGGGGAGGGGGCTGCAGCACGAGTGTGATGAGGAGCGGCTGAGGGGGCTCAGCCTGCAGGAAAGGAGGCTCGGCGGGGTCCTGATTGCTCTCTACAGCTCTCTGAAAGGACGGTGGAGCAGGGGGGGGACAGTCGGGCTGTGCTCCCAGGGAATAAGAAAGGATGAGAGGAAAGGGTCTGAAGTTGCACCAGAGGAGGTTTAAGTTGGATGTTAGGAAAACAGCTGTTAACTGAAAGGGTGTTCAGGCGCTGGAACAGGCTGCCCAAGGAAGTGGTTGAGTCACCATCCCTGGAAATGTTCAAGAAATGACTGGATGTGGCACTTGGGGACATAGTTCAGTGGCAGACTTGGCAGTGCTGGGGGACTGGTTGGACTTGATGATCTTAAAGGTTTTTTCCAACCTTAACAATTCTGTGATTCCATGATTCCAGGGTCTCAGGCCCAGCAGGGCCAGGGGCAGGTGGGCACTGTGAGCCAGCAAAGCTGGAAGTCACAGAAGTTCAAGGCCTGAGTTGTTCATGGTGTCCCGAGGGACAGCGAGCTCACTTCTCCCACCTCAATCCCTGCTTAGGCCAGGCATGCCAGTTATCCACAGGCATGAGCCCGAGGTTTTCCCTCTCATTCTGAACATATGATGCCTCACCTATTCAAGGATGTAAAGGTGCTCTGCAGACCTGAGGGGCTGCTGTTGTTTCGCATCTCTGCTGTGCACAACCCTCATTTAGACACAAGATCACTGTGTGACAGGCCTGGGATCAGGATGCACCTTTGGAAGAGTGTTTAGTCCTTCCTGAGGTTTGAAGTCATCGTGGCAGCCTTGTAGAGAAATGGCTTCTAACAGGATTCCCGCTGGACAGCTTTTAACAAATTCAGTAACCAAAGCCTTAAAAAGGAAAACAATCAAGAAAGTACATACCCTGAAAAACAAAAAACAACCAAACCAAAACCAACCAAAAAACAAATAATCAAAAACCCAAATCAAACCAACAAAGAAAAAACCTTAGGAAAATGTGAAATCACTCCACTACTGGTAAATATCTTAAAAAAACTATTCCTGAACATCTGAAAGCCAATGCTGTTTTTCAAGTAAAACTATTCAATGCAGGAAAAAGCCCAAATTTTGGAGGTGTCCAAGTCACATTTGGTTGGGGGGGGAAAAAATCACTCCAAGGATGAACTTTGTGTCCAGTGTTGCAGGAGTGGACGTTTATTTTGTTTGACTTCTAATCAAGGAGTTGTATTCAACAGGACTTAATGTCTTGCCCTTTCCAAGAAGGGGAACGGGGAAAGATGTAAACAACTGAGCTGACGGTTTGTGGAGAGGCAGAAGGTCAGGTCTCAGCCAGGAATATGTCAAAGCAACAGGACAGTGATGAATGAAACATCTATCAGCACTTTGGTCTGGAAAAGAGCTTTAAAAACATGCTACCACAGTGTGCAGGCTGCCTCCTGAGATGGCACATGCCAGGATTTGCATAACAATCCTGTGGCTCAGCACTTCTCCGATGATAGGAAAGGGCACCGAGTTGCAATTTCCTGTTATCCCTCTGAACCTCTGCACTGGTTACTCATTACTAATGGAACCATTTTAATACACCCTGTGTGACTAATTCTGACCCCTGCCAACGTGTTCATCTGCAGCTCCTGATCTGAGCCACTCCCAGACCTTTAGTCACACTAGATTTCGTGTTAGTCACCTTATATTTTGGGAGGAAAAAGTCGCTGAGGTGAAACTGGAAACGCACTGAAACTGAGCCTGTGCAGGTTGCAGGGGGGGTTCAGTTCCCTTTGGCACAGAGACAGCCAGCAGCAGGCACAGGATTCAGCCTACATGGTCTGTCCTGTCCTAAAAACACTGAACTGCTCTACACTGAAATCCAGAATTTCAGTGGCAGACTTGGCAGAATGTATTGTAGGAGCTTGTTAGTGATCAGTTCACAGAAATGACCTTCTCTCTTTAAGACAGGAGCCACTTGCACTTGTACATGTTCAAAAAGCAGTTCCATGGAGAAAACTCTACACTGAGTTTGCAGTCCTTGTAATATCTGCAAATCTGTCACTCTCTGTGCCCCTCGACAATTAATTCAGCTTATTTTAAATGTAGAAAGTGTTTTGAGAAGCTAAATTCTGTTCCTCTGTGATGCTTCAGGATAAAGAACTGGAAGACAAAAATGGAAGAACAAAATGCAGTTTGGTTTCCTAAGGCCACAGTAATTCTTCCTTCTTTTTCATTTGTTCCTTATTTTATTACAGAGGATTCTCAGAGCTCAAAATTGGCTCTCACATAAACAATCAGTTCAAGAGCTTTACAGTAGGCCTCTGGATGATGACAAATTTCACAGGTATTCTGACTTGAAAGCCCTAAATTTCAATGATCACATAGGGAGGGTATGGTCAGTGTACCTGGGCAGCAGGTGCTTCCTACTGTCCAGAGAGTTAACAGCTTTCATTTCATTATTCCAAAGTTGATGCAATGTTTGCCAGACTTTAGTAGAGGCCAATAGCTTGATGCAAAATGTATTTGCTCTTAAACTTGTGAAGCAAAATGGAGAAGGAAGAATTATCCAGACAGATGATGAGATATACAAGAGGAAAAGTCCAGTAAATGACAGTTGGTTCTCTGTGTACGTGTGGCTTGTGATACTCAAAGTCCAACAGTTGACGTGTTCCAGTGTTAAAGTACAAAGGGATTTTTCTGTGCCACCTCAGCTCTGCTTGTATAACAATGACTCAGCTCTGCAGCTCTGGCTCACAGCCCACATTGAAATTCTGTCTGTAGGAGCATTTTCATCCCCAAAGCAACACTGAAAGCAGCTACATGTTTGTGGGTGAAGGGGAATTAGGAATTGTGATGTTTTTTATCTAATAAGCGGGGGACTAGGAGTTGTGTATAGCTGACACCACACCGAAAAGAACAGGTTGTTAAAACTACGTGGTTTGTTCAGAGGAGAAAAATGTCAGTGCTCGGATTTTAGTCTTCTGGTAGAAGGGGAAGCATTCTGGACATTCTCCTCACCATCAAGGGATCCAAGCTGGATCTGAAAACAAAGTGCAGGAGGTGTCACCCCTGGGCCGATGGATAAAGCCTGGTCAGAACAGCCTTGGCAGTGTTTGGTTTTGTTCACTGTCACAGGGGTTCTATTGAACATATCAGCAATGATTAACAGCATTTTAGGACTTACTTCTGTCTGTCTGTCTGTCTGTTTTTCAAGGTGCTTCTTTGCTATCCTGCTGAAATTCCTCACCCCAGAAACCACAAGCTCAAAGAGCTCCGAGGCAGCAGAGAGGACGTGAACAAAGAGCTCCCTCCCTGCACTGCAGCTTGGATCGGCTCCAAAACACTCACGGGCAGGAGGCAGACTGGAGACATGCAGACAAGTAATTTTTAGAATAGACCTAGTTATTAGCTGTTGCTTTCACTGGCACAACATGCAGACACAAGCCTGTGATTTTAGCCCAATGGTGGCTTCATAAAATGCCTTCTCTAAGTCTCCTTCCATCAGAGCAGAGTGAACTGGCACATGTTCCTCTGGGTCATTCAGACCTGCAGAGAGAGACGTGCCCAAGCCTGTTTATCAGGGCAGCACAGATCTTACAGCTGAATCCCATGTGTCCTGCAAAGTTAAAATATTCTTTAAACAAACAGACAGAGGAGTATCCCTCATTTTCCTCTTTTTACTACCAATCTATTTGTTTTTCTTAAGCTTTCAGTTCCTGAAGTTGGAAGCTTATTAAAAACTTTGTTTATTGAAGGTTTTTTTAGCACAAGGCTTTACAAACAAAACTCAGAGAGTTGTCTTTTTTTGGTAATCTCATAATATTACAGTCAATCTCACAGTACTCAGAATTATGACTCACTATTTTTGTAACCCTTGAACTTGGCAGCACAGGGACAAGCAGTAACATGCCACGAGTCTGTTTATCTCGTGGGTGGAACTTCAGCAAAGTCTGGGTCTTATTGCAGTGTTACAGGCTTGGGGAGAATATATTTATCTCCACAACCATAAATAAGTAAATATAATTATCCAGTGTTATACACAGTGAGAGAGATCTGAGGTAGGTGTGAGTAATGTTATGAGATGAGAATATATATATATAGTTTATATATGTTGTTTTTTTCCCTATGGCACGTAGCCCTATTTTTGTCTGAACAAAGAACAGTAACTGGTCTTGCCACACACCCTCAGAAGGCCTGCCTGGCTGTCCCAAGCTAAACCCTGTAACTAAAGATAAACAGATTGCTTCAGTCCACAGTGCTCATGGAAAAATGATCCCTCGTTGCTAGGACATTAGCCTACATGAAAAGCAGCCCCAGCTTGTGTTCCAGAATGTACAGATTCGTTGGAAACATTTCCCTGACCCCAGATTCTTCTCCTGAAAGTAGGTTGCTTTGTACTACTGCCCAGTGACCTACTTTTGAAACCACTTGGAAAGAAATATGTGTTCCCAACTGCAGGCCCCGTGCCCTGGCGAAGGCTGGAGCCACCTGTGCAGCCAGGCCAGTCACAAGATACAGATTTCTGGGTTTTTTCAGCTCTGCATTTATTTATATACAGTTCAGAGTCAGCTGCTTGACGATTTTTATTCACCAAGAGCTACTGGAGGAAGAGTGGAATGTTTGTTAAATACATGTGCTTTGTACAAGCACAGCAGTACAATATTTAGCCATTCTTTGGAAAAAAAGCCACAAGGGAAGGCTCCTCTGCTTTTTGGTTTATACAGAAAGGAAAAACTGACAGAAATTTCTTCTTCTCTACCTACAAGGACATTAAAAAGAGAGACATGCACAGTGAAATCCTTAATGCAAGTCTGATGTGCTCAGACACTGCCCAGGCTTTACATTAGCCTGTGGTTCATCTCCAGCTTTACAGACGTGGCATTTCACATTTGTAAATATTAGTTCCTTGTGGTCTCTCCAGACTCCATGGCAGAATCTGTCCCTGGAGCAGAGCCTGGGATGTACAGCATGCCCAGACCAGCCTTGGAGCAAACATTCAGTCCCCCTGGTACCACCAAACAAAACCAGCCTGGTGGAAAAACTGAGCAAAACTGGCAGCACAAAGCATACAAATGGAAAATTGCCCAACTCTGCCTTTTACCCTAAATTTATGCAGCCAAATAATATTTCCAAGGTTGGATATTGCCATGGAGCTGTCTCTGAACATTCCAATTACCATTTTTCCCTCTTCCTGTTTCTACAGTGCAAGTAATTACTGGTAGGATGATTTATTTCCTTTTTACTGTAAACCAGGAGGTTCTAGAAACCCTGTTAGGAGAAAGGAAAGCAAAAGGGTTTTGTTGTTGTTGAGGTTTTTTGGTGGTTTTGTATTTTTGTCTAGGTTTGAGGGTTTTTTTAGGGGGAAATAGAGCAGCTCTGTGCTGAATCTTGCCAGTCACACGAGTGCTGATGCTTTGTGAGGGGAGGATTGAACAAGGTCATCTGTCTTCACTGAAGGAGCAGCAGGTAAAGCTGCTAAAAAACACATTAAAACCTTCTTGGATTTTGCATATCCAGCTTTAATATGACATAAAATGAGTTAAGAGACAGACTGAAAGGTACGATGAAGCTTAATTAACCCGGGGCACATTTCCAAATCAGCTCACAGAAGGAAGTTGCTCCATCGAAGCTTCCTGTTCTGGAGGCGAGTAAACAAGCATTTGAATTACAAATGTCAGCATTTCATCACGGGGCTTGTTTTGCAGGCTCACATTAGAGAATTAACCGGTCAGCCCGGTTCCAGCCAGTTCCAAGGGCAGCTCAGGAGCTGGGCCGCGTGACTGGGGCCGCTCGTGTGACGCACCGGGAGCCTCCAGCGCTCCCCAAACTCCTAAATTATGTATTTCACCAGCTTTGCCAACTCAGTCCTGCTTTTCCCAGCTTCTCCTCTCAGCCTGATAGGACGGGACCAGCCCTACAGACTGTTCTGGGCTTTCTCGTGAATTCTCAGCCACCTCAGGGAAGGGTCGGTCAGAGGCACTGGGGGTCACAAATCTTTGGCACCAAGGGTCACTCCCCTTTTTGGGGGGCACCTTTGCTTAAGTCCATTTCAGGCTCTTCCCTGAGCACTGCTGGGATTAAGGCAGGGGTTAAAAAGCCACAGTACCACACTATTACAACCCTTGTCCCCATCCCTGTCCCCTCAGGGTCTGCCCCCCCCCCGCCGATCCTGAAATCTGCCCCGCCAGGCGGCGCCCCCTTAGCAACAGCGTGACCTCACCGCGCACCAATCAGCGCCAAGCGGCGCCGAAGCTTCGAGAGCTTTCCCTGAAACAGCCGCCCCCGCCCCTCGCCAACTGCCCCTCGTGTCAGCCAATCAGCACCCGCCCTGCGTCACGCCGCACCAATCACCGACGGACTTCCCGGTCGCCCTACAACCGTCTCACTGCAGCGCCTGGGGGGAGGACGCTTCCAGATCCATCCGCACCCTCAGAAATTTACGGATTTTTATGGGTGTGAGCCCCTTCACTGAGACTCCGGGACCCCCTTTTTGCCTAGAAGAGTGATTGGAGCGGAAAGGAGGCGAGTATTTTCCATAACAGCGGTGTTTTCACGGGGACTACTTTGCGAGGCGGATGGACACATGGGTTTTGGTGGGCGGGGACTGTGTGTCTGTTGCCCGATAAATAGGGGCGGGTGTGCGTCACTCGGCAGAGCTGAGCTGCAGCATAAGAGATTTTGCGGAGGGATTCAGCGGTTTCGGGGCAGCGGAGACGTTTGAGTATGCACGGCAGGAGAGATCGGGGGGGTGGATGAACGGAGAAAGGGGGCGTTTTTGTTGCTGGGCAGGAGCGAACGCAGCAGGGGTGGGTTGCTGCCGGCGGTTGCGGGGTGTCTGCCCGGAGCGAGCGTGTTGTGGGGGGGGCTTAGAACTTGCCGGTCTTGCTGTGTCGGTGCTTGAACCGCGTCTGCAGAGCTGAGGGAAGGGGGGAAGCAGAATAACTGCCGGCGGCCGGGCGGATGTCGCTGTGGGGAAGATGCGACGGGCTGCCATGAGCCGCCTCGGCCCCGGACAGGCGGTTGTTTGTATCACGGCCGGCCGCGCGGCGGAGAGCGGGCCCCAGCGCCGCAGGGCGGGGCTCGGGGGGGTCCGGAGGGGGTCCGGCTCCGTGCCGACAAGGCTGCTTTGATAAAGGTGGTGTTAAGGGGGGTCCGGGCTCTCGGTGCCGCAGGGCTGCTTTGAGAAGGGGGTGTGTAAGGGGGGGTCCGGGGGCTCTGGTGCCGCAGTGCGCGGGGGTTTGGTGCTCAGGTGCCCCAGTGCTGCTCTGCAGGAGGGTGTGAGGCCCTAGTGCTGCCCTGCGGGACGGGGAACGTAAAGAGACCTGAGAGCTCCGGCGCTTCAGTGCTGCGCTGTGGGGGTGAAGAGGGGGCTGTCTGGTGTGATGACGTGAAGGGGCAGGTGTAAGGAATCTCCCATACAGGAACCCACAGCCCCGCCTTGTGCCCTCAAGAAGAGGGTTATTTTAACTTAAGTTGCGAGCAATAGTTGTAGAAAATCATGACATTTAAAAGAAAATAAAAAATTCTAATTGGTATTTTATGTTGTTCGTTGAAACCAGCAACAGTATAATTCCATTTTATTTAGATATACTAAAGGCTTTACTTAATAATAGCAGTAGCTGAAACACCTGTATTGTTCTTTGCCAGGAGTCAACATTAGCAGATTTTTGTGAAGACCCACTGACGTGGCCAAGACCATCACCTATGAGGTATAGCCCCATGAAGTGATACCATGAAAATGTGCAAGGCACAAGATCCAGGACAAGGAGAGGCATTCTCCTGATCAGCCAGAGGCTGATTTTCGCTGGCAAGCAGCTGGAAGATGGTCGCACCCTGTCCGACTACAACATCCAGAAAGAATCCACCCTCCACCTTGTGCTGCCGCCTCAGGGTGGAGATTGCAGATGTTCTTTGTTCAAGACCCTTGA